AGTTAGTAGATATACATGAAGATATTTTGGCGTTTTATATTTTAGTTCAAGATGAGTCCAAGATTGAACTGGCAGACGGGGCATTGGAGGAGTTTACTCTCACTTTCCCCACTCGACCCAGTCCAATAGAGGGGAACAACTTGGTGCTTCCTGAAAACGACATTGCTGCTAGGAATAAAGATGAACTCAGTATGACGAATTCTAGGTTGTTGAGTCAAATGAATTCTAACTACGAAATCAGGCACAGACTGCGAAATACAGGAAAACGTTACAACCGCCATGACAAAGCAGGTGTGTGCCTTTACGAAATGTATAATACAATCTGTAACTACGATTTAAACTTTGGTTAACTAATTGTACCATTTGTTAATGCTTGTTATTTAAGATTTTATTATAAATTCGAGTTGTGTAGAATCGTTTTGAATTAATTCCAAGCATTGTAAATCTCTTGACTACAAACGTCCTGTAGATTTTTCTACGAATTTAGCCACAGGTAAAATTGAACTCTACACGCTACTAAATGAATCTCTTAACGTAGGCCCATGTAATTATATCTACTAATGAGTTATACTTGTGCAACAAGTAAAGGTTATTGCGTAGGTATCAGTACCACAAACGATGTTCTGATGTGTTTCGTAGAGTTTAATTTCAAACAATGATGCTTAATTTTTTTATTCAGTGTCTATTTCCACTTGGTTTTGAAATACAAGGGAAAGGGGACACGATTCGACAAATTCCATACAAACAAAGTTCATAATATTTTCAGGTGCCATGTGGATCGCGAATTTCAAGGGGCACATTTTGTGTGTGCGTGTAATTATGGTAAGCATAGTTGAATTTAACAAAAAAAAAAAAGGGGGGGGGCGTTCATTTCTTGTCCCCCTAAAGCAAATCAATGTAATGTCAAAGTTATTAATATTATTGTGACACTTCTATGGGCCCTTCTACATAAAATGCACGTGAGCAAATTTACTCACAAATATATTTGTGTTTATTCATTCACAGAAGATCAACAGTTCCTGCAAAAGAGCGTATCCAATGACAGTAAGTTGGCATCCTCTAACATTGCAGATATTCCAACATTATTTATTGCATGTTCACCACACTATCGCTCTAAAAACAAGAAGAAGCTTTTTGTCACTTTCACCACAGTTTAGTATACAAAAGAAAGAAAGAGACATACAAACAGGGTTTCACTCGCACATTCTAGTATGTAGTAGTATACCAATGTTGACTGCTTTTAGGGGCACGGTCAAAACTTTCCCCCAAGGGAATGTCGAAACTGTACTCTGCACCAAGTCGAAGTCGAGGGGCAGAGTAAAGTCTCGAGACCAGTTTTAATCGTGACCTCTAGGCAGTCACTATTTGTTTTATCTACAGCATATTAAGTGTCGATTCTTATGTAAGAATTTTTACACAAATGCCTGTTAAAGGTACTATGTCCCATGTGCAGGCCAACAAAAATGAAAAGGTTAAATTCCAATGGCATTTGAAAGATAATACTAATTTAGAACTTCCCTAAAAAAAAAAAAGTGGGGGGGGGGGGGGCTTGAAAATGTCTTTAAGTGGGAAAATAACGACTATTAGTTGTCGAATCGACTTAAGAGCTATAGAGCCTTGGGTGTAATAGTCTGATTTTCAGACCATTGTACCGAATGGTCGTATGTTTTATGATGTGCAAAGATTCAATCAGTTTAGTTTTGGCCATTACAAGAACTGGGTTATAGATGTTGACATATGCTCATGTACCCTTTAAAGCTCATGTTATGGATGTTGTTACCAAAGAAGAAAAAGCCAGCCACTCACTCAATAGTGTCTAACAGTGAAGTCTAGCAAGTAAACGGGTTTCCTTGCATAATTTGAATATTAGGACACTGCTAATGTTTAAATTCCACAGATAGGACATACATGACATATTCATAATTCCTGCACAGTTCTAAATTCGAGGGGTAGAGTAAAGTCTCGAAATCAGTTTTAATCGTGACCTGAAAATAGGCTGTCACTATTTGTTTTATCTACAGCATATTGAGTGTCGATTGTTATGAAAGAATTTTTACACAAATGCCTCTTAAAATGTATTTATTTATAAATTCAAAGGAAATTTACCAATCTTTGAGCAATGCGTGTCTCACCGCGTGTATCCGTTGTTAACTCTATTCGCGATCATAGCATCCTTGCATAGATGCAAGATCAACATATGCCCAACAATCAGTACCGAATATGTGGCAAGCAGTTCGGACCAATCAGAGGAATACAATATTCATATTCGGTATATAGGGAAATCGATATTAATTCCGTGAAGGTCCACTTTTCCCCTTCTCGTTGCAAGCGAATTCAACGCAAGTATGAGAGCAAGTTACATGGAGGTGTTATCGTCTTAACCCTATTTAGCCCGGGGGGGGGGGGCTTGAGAAGCCCCCCCCCCTCGACATTTTTCGCGATAATTTTTTAACGCAAGAAAATCTTGCACTGAAATTTTGTGACTTTTTTCTTTCGAGTCTTGCGCATCTTTTGAAAGAAATTTTTCGAAAATCGGACCTACCATTACAAAGTCACATGACCTTTTGTCTTTGCATGTCAGCCCGAAAATCGCTCATTTTTGTGATTTGTGTACAAAACATATGGAAATCTCATTTTTTTCAAATAAAGAGATAAAACATTGGTTATTTGGTCTTGTTTATAGTTGAGGTGTTTATTTTGGGGTCAAAATAGTTGAATTATAGTTGGAAATGAAATAAAACAACAAAAACAATAAAAATACATGAGTTAAAAAAACAAAGAAATACATAAGAAATTATCAAAACAATAGATAACATAAAGAATAACCCTGGTTTTTCAATTTTTTGTGTTGTATTATTATTCCAAATGGTCTAACAAATATATGTAGTGAGAAAGAATGCTTAAATATGAATAATGTCTGATTTATGGGCAAAAATGTGAATTTGATGACCTTATTTGCATAAATTACCATAAATATGCAAATGAGTGAATTTTTCAAAAAATTGAAATTACCATAGTAATCTATACACTTCACTTGACATGTATGCAAATTTTCGCGGCGATCGGTCATTTCACGGCCGAGATCATAGGGGGGGGGGGGCCTGAGAAGCCCCCCCCCCCCCCCGGGCTATGCAGTTTCAAAATAGCCCGGGCTAAATAGGGTTAAGAATCAACACCAAAATTTCGCATGACTATCATATTGGCGATGAGTAATACAGAAACGAACTAGAACTGCAATCATGTTAGAACGATATGCATGCTATTATGTCTGTATATTTAACAATAAGTAAGAAGTCTTTAGCTTCTAGGATAGTGGAGATAGATAGTTAGAAATAGTTAGAAATAGACGGCTAAAAATAGATCCGAAATAGGCAAAAATGGCGCTTAGACGGTCATGCGCGGGTGACTTTTTTTGAAAGGCCTTAAAACGAACCAGAAACCTACCAAATTGTGCCTGTATAGAGGAAATGACTTATGAAGTGTTTACAAGCACTTCGTGCAGAGGAATGTAATTTGGGTGAAGAAGAGTAATAATATTAGACCAAAATTATGTTCGTTGCAGTGTTGATGATATTTTGACAATTTACGTCTCACTCATGATATATTCCGCGATCAACAATCTAATAATATTTGATAACATTTGCCTGGATTTGTTGGCAAACGTGTAGTTTTTGATGGCATACTTAATCAATGAAGTATTCTTAAATGCCATCAAAACGTACACTAGTATATTATTGGTATGCCTATCAGATAAGTTACGAATCCAGATGGCTTTCAACTTAAACTTTTCTTTCAATTTATTTCAACTTCTTCTATTACCCCTTAATAAGGTTTCACTAACCACTACGGCCCGTGCGGCGGCCAAACCTGTACAACGAGCGGCCGAATCACATCAGAACTAATTCAGATCCAGGTCGTGATTCCCAACGGCAAGACGCTCATCGAGAGATGCAGATCAACGGATAAGGTCAAATGCCTAATTGCCGAGATCTCGGAGAGACTGCACATCGCTCCTTCTCAGTACTGGCTAGCGTTCGAAGGCAAGCCTCTCTCAGAAAGGTCGACTTGTAGTGTAACATGTCACGGACTCCAAAATTTGAGCACGGTGTGTGTGAATTTACGACTGAGGGGTGGTTCCTTGTTTTAGTACAGGTTATATTCTGAGACAAATATATGACCTAGGGCGTAGCCACAGTGGCATATCCGAATAGAGCCGACGTCTTTTTTTTTTACAGAGTCTTGATGCCCTTCTGGCTTTCAGCACACGACACTATGTTTTTGTCTCATGTTTCACATATTACACCAATGGAAAACATATTTCTGTATTAATAAAATCTTGAATCTTGTATACCTTCCACCGCCTGCTTTAAGTCCAAGGCAAAACAAAAGAAGAAAACGACTGAGAATAAGGGACGGATGATAGGGGGGGGGGGGGAGAATGGAAAAACGAGGAGAAGAATAAGAAGAAATCATAATTGATACAGTACAACGGAGCTGCCCGATACACTATGCGTCTTCGGAGAATGTGGCCTCCTGATAAAAAACAAAAGATTCTGGACATGCAAATGTAGGGTTTGTAAGCATTATTAGTACATACACCAAACCTTTTTTGTCATGTCTACAAGTCTATAAAAGTCAGAACCCGCTGGGTTTGCATGAGTAGCAAACTTTGCTCACCTGTTGAGAACGTGTGTGTTACAAGTTATCCGACATCCCAATTCCATTTGTTATAATGCTGCAAGACCTTATCAACTATAAAACCCAACATGCTCCCATCGTTTCTCTGCATTTATACTCATATTGTATTACGCTTTTGAATTTCATTTAAAATGTTTGCTTCAAAGTATTATAAAATAACTTTTGAACCTGTGCAGTAAATATTTGTTTCAGATCAATTCTGAAACAAATTTTTATCTTCGTAATGCGTAATTTCGATGGCAAGTATTTCGAATGTTAAACAGACAAGGAGGAGGAGATGCACTGTTAGAATATTCCTCCAAAAGAATACGTTTATTTTGATGTTATCAAAATAAACCCAATTGTAATAGAATGCAATAGTGTAGGCCGGAAATATGCGGCAAGCCGGTGACTACACACGATAGCGCGCCTCTTTTGTAAAATGATTTTGAGGTCAATAACCGAATGTTTCCCAGCAGGTCGGCAAATATCAAACATAGGCGCATCTTTGTAGCCTACATTGAGGTCACAAAGCCGAATCTTTACCACGCGTGTTTTGTAAATATCAATGATAGGCGCGCTTTTGTAATACATATCGGGGTCGCAAGGCAAGTGTTTCCCACGACGTGTATTTTTACTAATCAATGGGTCATTCTCAGCTAATACTTCGTTTGAGTTGGTCGTGTTTTATTGGACTCAGAATTATACATGCTAATTGTACACAGGTTGTCGCTGTTGAACTGACTGCACCGGTTTGTTTCTATTATCACTGGGTTTCACACCAATACGCTGGATATTCGGAATTGAACAGAGAGACAGCTACACGGGATATAAGGATTAAACGGTGGAAAAGTTACACTGGATATCTGGAATTAAACAGAGGAAGAGTTACACTGGATAATTGGATCTAAAAAGAGAAAATGTTACACTAGATATTTGGAATTGAACAGAGGAGTAATTGTATTGGATAGCTGGAATTAAATATTGGAGGAAGTTACATCGGAGCTCGGATTGCGGCATAGTCGTCTAACTGGCTCGTCTGTATTGTGTGGACGACAAGATGGGGAAGTCTAAGGCGTCTACGGGACGAAAGGGCAAAGGAAAGCGGAGAGAGCCAGCGCTTCAAAACAGTGACCCGATCAGGGGGACAACGCCAGCTCCACATTCTCGAGTGACGAGACGCGGCTCGAGGAGTAACCCAGCCGCTTCGGCGGGGCGGGAGCGCCAAGGAGACCAGACTCCGACGGGGGGGGGCCAACATCACAGAATCCCTAGAAACGGCGAATCAACCGTCTATTGTCCATCCTCCACCCGGTGAGTTACCTAGCCACAGGCTAGTCTCATCTTCTAATTCCGCAAACATATCATTCCCTAAGGAGATAGGGGAGATGGCGCAGTGAGACATATAAACTTTATGTCCGTTAATAGGTTGGACAAGGTCGGGTTGATTGTAGGCAAAGGAGATAGGGGCCTACGTATACGGTGTGGATATAATTATGGAGAGTTAGTACGATTGCTTACTTTGTTTTCAATAATTTTAACCAGCTCAGTGGGATGTTATTCATTTTCGTATAACCATGCACTTAATTGGGGTTAGTCGTGTTTCGACAAGTGATGTTGTACAATATTTAGTATGTTAAACAAGTTCGGTACGATACTAGAAATGCAATCGTGTCAGAACGATGTGCGTGCAATGACGCCTTGTTTTTACATGTCAAACGAAAGAGCATCTCTCGGACTAGTTACGCAGAGTATGAAGTAGCATTTAATGTCATGCTTGACCGATTTTTTAAACAAAAAGTCCGGCTTCTTGATGCTCTGCACTTGGCCACTTAGAATGTGCCTGTAAAATTTCAAGTAAAATAAAGATCGTTCTGGGGTCCAGAAGCGTGAACCCGATTTGCCTCATAGACAATGCGTGTAATGCATGGGCGGAAAACGTACAGGATCTGTATTATGACCGGACTTTAATTGTTTGTTTTTTCTCTCTCTTTATGTCACTTTATCTGACGTATTTGGTATCATGGGAAAGAGAATTTCATGGTTGTTATTGTAAACAATTTTTTTTTGTTCTATGGTAATCCTATCGAAACACGTGATGTAAAATAGATTTATAGGACAAAAATTGCGTCTTCAATGACCCCCTTGACCAATTTTAAAAATCCGGCCAAGAGGTGCCCTGCGTATTGCAACTCGGAATGTCACTGCAAAATTTCAAGGAAAAAAAAAGAAAAAAAAAGGGACGTTTAGGGGGTGAAAAGCAGTCTGAAAAAATGACGCCATAGCCGATACGTGTTATATTATTGGGCGGAAACTCGGCGGAATTCGTATAATGACCCTTGTTCAAATGTGATTTACTCAAAATTTTCTGTGTGAACATATACCATACTTGGTATCATTCGAAAGGGCACTTCATTTCGGTCAGTTTGACACCGTTGTCATCTGCGCGCAATGTACTGCACGCATTAAAGGCGCTATTACGTAACGCATAGTAAATTTATCATTTTTGGCGATAACTTTGCGCTGACGTATTCGACTTTTACCAAACTTGGCAGACAGTTGTCACGTATATGGATACATGTGTCTGCCAAGTTTCATTGATGTAGGTATAAAGATCGTTATTTTAGAGTAAGTTGAAGTTATTTCGGAATTTTCTCGAAAATGGCGAATTTGGAAGGCAATTTTTCTCAAATTTGGTCAGTGTTAGGATATATAATTTTGTATATGGCTGGAAAGGACATATCTTCAAGTATCTAAATCCAAAAAAGGGTACGGGTTTGCCAAGCCATTATGAAGATACGGCCACAGAGAGAAAGCCAATTCCTAAAACTTTAGAGGGCGCTATTTATGTTGTGCAAAGCCATTGGAGCGTGAAATTTGGCACGGCTATGTGCAATTATGAGATAAAGATACTGTGAGATTTAAAAACAAAACGGAATTTATATGAGAAAGTTATGGCAGTTTTAGATTGTTTAGGGGTCCATTTTTCAAGAACTTGAGATTTATTGGAGGAGTCGGTTTTAGATTTGAAATTCGAGTATGAAGATGGCATTGTGAAGGTCAAGTCATCCGTCGCAGATGAAAGGACATCTCTCAGACTATCTAGAGGAATTTGTTAAAAGTTTGTAGGATCTAGGATAGTGGGGATGGGAAGGAAGATATAACGGCCTTAAAATGGACCGGAAACGGACAAAATGGCGCCTGGACGGTCATGCATGGGTGATTTCCAAAATCGAAGAAAGTAGTGACCTTGATGAGATGTTAGAGACTATGCCTATGAAATTTGAAAGGAAAAAGACATGAGGAAAGCACCTAACTAGGAATCACAAACACTACGTGCAAAACGAATGCGATTTCCTGACGATAAGGATAAGGGAAAGGAGAATATTAATGGGGCAGAATGTGAGCGAAAACAAGGCAATGACGAAGGTCGTCTGCGATAATATGCTATATAGAATTGAATTTGCTTCGCTTATGTAATTATGTTAGAAACCTTTGGTTCTATAAGCCCATAAAAGGTACGCCATACTCGGAAGGGATTTGGTTTTTATCTTTCTCCAATTAGGTGCCCAGGCTCACCGGGTTTGGGTGTGCGGAGACATTCTCGTGAGGCGAGCTGGTGAGCGGGCGTTTACCAGAGGCTGTCGAGACCTGGGAATCGCTGGTTGTGAGGTGGCATGGCACGGGCGAGGAGGGGCGTCGCTATACGCGATTTCCCGCGTCAATTACAGGGCCAAGTGAGGTTCGGTCCTTCTCCATCGGAGCTAATCATCCATGCGGGCTCGAACGACTTGGGGCGTTATTTTGCAAAGGACTGTCGACAAGCGGTGGATGAAGCACTGAATACAGCGCGGTCATTGTTGCCGCAATGCTACACTTCATTTTCAAGCATCTTACTCGCCTGTATTACTATGGTCATGATGTACACGTCACGTCGCAGGTCGTCATCAATGATGTGCGGAAAGGTGTCAACAAGTATGCCAGACGGAGGGTCCGGCGTATGTGTAGTGGATCATTCATAGGCCACAATTTCAATGTCCAAGAACACTGGTATTTTCACAGAGATGGCGTGCATCTGTCTGATGAGGGATGTGATCTTCTCGTGGAGAACTTTGCGTCAGCGGTTCGATTTGCTCTTAATCTTTGAAACTTTATTTTGTGCATGCCCTTTGTTTTATTGCGGGCAATCAGGAGTATATTGAAATTTAAAGAGTAGATTACGATTTAAAATGGTTTATTGACAGGCTGACAAAATGTAGGTCAAGAGGTTGTTTACATTTTTGAGGGAAATTCACGCGCTAGGAAATGTAATACTTTGTATTACATTGGAAGGAAATGTACAAGCGTATGTACGCTTATCAAGCAAGCGCGGAAAATACCGCCAGCAAATTACAAATAGCACGAAGGGGCTTTCATTCTAGTTATGGCTGTCATTTGAATGGACAAGAAGAAAAATGTACGGAGTCTGAAACATTCCCACCACCTCCCCATTATCTCCACCAATAAAAGTATTTTTAGTATATTAGTGGCATAAATTAAATATTGCTTGGTGGTTCGAAGTAGCCAAGGTATACGTATTAGTACGGAAAGGATTTAGGGTTTCAGGTATGAAAGGTACGGATAGGGTTTATGTAATAAATTGGTCAGTGATTTATGAAGTTAATGCAGAGCCGGGGGCATTTGGCCTGGTCGCACATCAAGCGTCGTGCACAAAGACAGTGGGCCGTAGGGGAATTTTCCCATTGGGTTTCGCCCCTACCCGGTTTTGTATGGGTAAATCACTAATCACATGGTACTGATAAGTTTATTGATCGATGATTGTCATCCAATAATTTTCGACCCCACTCATTTTTACATGCGAGGGGGTTGCCAATGTATATTCAGTCGAATTTGTTCGCATGTCAATTCTTAGTTTTCCGGCCCCCATTCGATTTGAATGCGGGGGGACCTAGTTGTACCTACACATTTTCAAACTCAGGGTGTCACGCTTTAATCTTAGGCATCATCCGATCTTACAGGCGGAGAGGCTGGTATATATATACATCTATTTTCTATAACTTTAGGCATCACTCGATTTTATAGGCGGGGGGCTGATATAATGACTTAATGTATATAAGTTTAGCCTTGGCATCACTCGATTTCATAGACGGGGGGCCTCGCATTTGTAAGCATTTTTTATGATTCAATATATCTGTGTTATTTGTTATGACACCCAGGAAATCAAAATGTGCAAAATAAGCGTCCATCTCAAAATGTTAATAAAGCCACAAAAATAACGCAAAGTTGATTGTTTGTTATTTTTGTTAGCCGTGCATAAATTTTGCCACATGCCCAGGTTCTATTTCGCTAGGCAAAAAAAAAAAAAAAAAAAAAAAAAAAATTGGGTTGTTGGGATTTGGAGTTTGTTCTTTTGTTTCGTTCCTGAACTATAATCATTTCCAGTATGCCTCAAGGAGAGGAATGGCCAAGAGCGCCATGAACCGACGGTGGGGACAGGCTGCGATTACCAGATCTTGTGTAGGGAACCAATGGCCCAGGAAACTGGGCCTGCTGGGTAGAGCACCGTCTTCCCAGCTGGTCACGTGACCCGTGACCCTCGGGTTCCCATATTTGTGGAATCGCAGTCTGTCGCCTTCCGCCATTGCAAACAAATAATTATGGAAATGGTTTTATATGATTTCATATCTATGTTATGTAATAATATGTCAAGTTGGAAATATGCTACCGCAAAAACTCGAACGGAAATATGTAAATGGTTTTTGTATGATTTTATATCTATGTTAATAGTATGTCAAGTTGGAAATATGCTACCGCTAAAACTCGAACGGAATTATAGAAATGTTTCTATATGATTTCTTATCTATGTTGATAATATGTCAAGTTGGAAATAAGCCAACTCAAACGGAAGAATTAAAAGTTGAGAAAAAGGCAATAACAGCATTTTCATTGTATTTCTTATTGCAATACGTTTATTTTGATGTTATCAAAATAAACCCAATTGTAATAGAATGCAATAGTGTAGGCCGGAAATATGCGGCAAGCCGGTGACTACACACGATAGCGCGCCTCTTTTGTAAAATGATTTTGAGGTCAATAACCGAATGTTTCCCAGCAGGTCGGCAAATATCAAACATAGGCGCATCTTTGTAGCCTACATTGAGGTCACAAAGCCGAATCTTTACCACGCGTGTTTTGTAAATATCAATGATAGGCGCGCTTTTGTAATACATATCGGGGTCGCAAGGCAAGTGTTTCCCACGACGTGTATTTTTACTAATCAATGGGTCATTCTCAGCTAATACTTCGTTTGAGTTGGTCGTGTTTTTCCCTCCCTCCCTCCCCTCAATTCCTTGCTGACTTGTGGACGGGCAGGATTAGGCTCATGATTATTGGGTAGGAGGTTGTCAGGGGGAGGGGGCGGTCCTTTATTGAGAAAGTGTATATAGGGAGACCGGAGTGGTACTTGCCCGGACTGGTAGTTCTGCGTATGTCATTGCCTTAGAGTTTGGGCTTGAATAAGTGACACGATGGGGCTGTAGTAGTGGACAAGGTTGATGGTTAATTGGGCTTGTTTTATGATATTGACATCATGTTTGTTTGTTTGTTGTTGTTTTTTGTTTTTTGTTTTTTGTTTTTTTTCCTTCGGTTTCTACATCAGATTTGCTAGGTTGCTTTTTGTGTTTTGTTTTTCTTTTTTTGGGGGGGGATTGTCAAATTGATTATGTTTCATTATTGTTCTTTTAATGGTACACAATCTGTTAATCACTGTGTGATTTTGTTCTTTTAAGGCTACAACATTCATGGACATCAATGCAGATTGTGGAAGGAAAAAAAAAAGAAAAAAAAAAAAAGAAAGAAGGAAAGAAATTGGGCTTGTTGTATTGACATGGTTGGTTGGTTGGGCTTGATTATTGACATGGATGGTTGGTTGGGCTTGTTATTGACTTGGATGGTTGGTTGGGCTTGCTTATTGACATGGATGGTTGGTTGGGCTTGCTTATTGACATGGATGGTTGGTTGGGCTTGCTTATTGACATGGATGGTTGGTTGGGCTTGATTGTTGACATGGTTGGTTGGTTGGGCTTGTTATTGACATGGATGGTTGGTTGGGCTTGCTTATTGTCATGGATGGTTGGTTGGGCTTGCTTATTGACATGGATGGTTGGTTGGGCTCGTTTATTGACATGGATGGTTTGTTGGGCTTGATTATTGTGATGGTTGGTTGGACTACATTATTGACAGGGTCGGCCGGTTTTGGCTTATTGGCTGGAGCTTCTGTTCCGGAAGTCTTAGTATTCCGAAATGAGAGGGTTTTGTTCTTTTGTTTCGTTCCTGAACTATAATCATTTCCAGTATGCCTCAAGGAGAGGAATGGCCAAGAGCGCCATGAACCGACGGTGGGGACAGGCTGCGATTACCAGATCTTGTGTAGGGAACCAATGGCCCAGGAAACTGGGCCTGCTGGGTAGAGCACCGTCTTCCCAGCTGGTCACGTGACCCGTGACCCTCGGGTTCCCATATTTGTGGAATCGCAGTCTGTCGCCTTCCGCCATTGCAAACAAATAATTATGGAAATGGTTTTATATGATTTCATATCTATGTTATGTAATAATATGTCAAGTTGGAAATATGCTACCGCAAAAACTCGAACGGAAATATGTAAATGGTTTTTGTATGATTTTATATCTATGTTAATAGTATGTCAAGTTGGAAATATGCTACCGCTAAAACTCGAACGGAATTATAGAAATGTTTCTATATGATTTCTTATCTATGTTGATAATATGTCAAGTTGGAAATAAGCCAACTCAAACGGAAGAATTAAAAGTTGAGAAAAAGGCAATAACAGCATTTTCATTGTATTTCTTATTGCAATTGCTCAATACCTATCATTTTACAAAATAGGGGAGGAATGGGTGTAATTATTATTTCACTAATCAATCATAATCATGGTATTTGACTATTGTTTATTTTTATGACACCCGTGTATTTTGTTTTGTTTAATACATATAAATATATATATATATATATATATATATATACCTTACAGCGTCATTAGACGGACATATGTAGTGAAAAAGTTGATCATTAAGTAGAAATGTTCATTGGCAGGACATTTTAATTTCCTGTTAACAATTGAACAATAGAAATATGTATATACATTACGTGCATTTTTGTTGTAAAACTCTTTCTTTAAAATACTGTGCAATTCGATTCATACCACTCATGCATAGGTAAGCATAGCCATTTAACAATAAATGATTTTCTGAAACAAAATTGTAGAAATGGGCCATCTGTATATTCAAATGATATAATAAGCTTTCGACGTATAATGTGACTCATCCGTAATATCAGATGGAAAAGGCAAGCATATTGACCAAAATTGTCAGACCCATGGAGCAGCAGTCCTGAGACAACAATTGACATCCAGAGCTAAATCCTCGTTGTTTCTCATTATTTGTTTCAATGTTTCAATTGTAGAACAAGATTTTTTTACAGATGCACATGCTCGATAACATTTGAACGGCAACTTGCTCTATTTTTGCTATTTTGTTATTCATACCTTCAAACGGTTGAATAAATTTGCCCATCCAAAAGTGAACTTTCGAAACTTGATTTTAATAGATATTAGTAGAGTATTAAGTAAAAAAAAAATATGAAATATACTTTATTGATCGTTTATGTAAAAACTTGAACAATAAGGAGTGTCCACCTTCCTTAGTTGCTAAGTGTATATTTAACTTGAGTATGGTTTTAAAGATAATTGTACCTTGTCGGTGTACTGTAAGTAGTATTTCCCAGCATTAAAGCTATAGTTCATTATGTATGCTAATAAAGGGCTCAGTTTGTCCTAGAATTTACAATAAATTCAACTTTTATGACTCGTCTTGGACATATTTTTTTTGGCATTGCATGTAAAGCATATATATTCTCTAATGGTCAATATGCACTTTACATATCTCGTTCTGTATAAAGGTGTGAGTTTGGGGCCATTGTCTGGTTTTAGAAATGTGCAGTTAAACAAAAGTTTAGTCTGTGATTCTTTGTATAAATCTAAGTAAATTAGTTTAATTTGCTTGTTCATTGAATCAAAGCTTGTTAATCTTTCATCTTTTATTTTTTAGTTTACGGATGGTCGTGCGTGTTTTGTAAATTTGTCTCGATTCAGCTTGGGTTAAGTATTGCATTCGTCAGATGTATCATTTGTATTGCATGATACCGAACACAAGTTACGATATTATTTCTGATGGTTTGTAGTGGAAATGTAAATAAAGCACTTACTAACTGTACATAGATGATATGATGCATTTAAAAGTTTCGTATTTGACATTTTGCATTTGACCCTCACCTTATCAAGAGAGAGATGGAGATAGAGACAGCAAGGGAGAAAGAGAAAGGCAACTACTTCCACACTCACCCTCACAATTTTGTGGTTGTAGATGAAGGATTTGGTCTATTTCATCAAGGGTTTGTGTTAATCATACATATGCAAATTTAGGAGACTTTCCTATTCCTTATCAGATTTTGCTTACACTTTTACTGATCTGCTGCACTCATTTCTCTTTGGTTCAAATTAAATCAACTTATTGATCCCACAAGGTAAACTGCAGTAGGTACTATTCTAATTTTAGGTACGCTCTCACATATGTACCACGTAAGTATAATACACACATTTAGTAGTAGGCAATTTTTAAGATTAACATAGACTTTTCCTTCGTCAAAAATGTCAGTCCAACGTTAGACTCTCGGCTCAAGTATCTAGGTTATTGCACTACTTCTTACTCGCCCTCATCTTGCTCATAGTCGGTCTTCCACATTATGGTAAAACTTTAAAACCTAAGGGGCCCATAGCAAAAAGGACTCCTTTGGATGGCTGGGTGGGGACCGACTATACTCCACCACTTTCGCAAAGAGGAAAAAGCATTTTATTTTAGACCTATACAAACTCGCATTTTATAGACTCTAAATATAAATACAGCAGCTTCATAGCGACCGTGTTAGAAATCTTAATGTTTTGTACTTAGCATTTTAAATTAAGGTATGGGATTAACACCGACGTTTTATATTCTTTCTTATGGACACAGCAAAAATTAAATCATCATTTAGATATTTGCCGCGACTTCCCGCGTTGGGGTGAACGACTCCTTTCTGAAAACGTTATAAACTAACTTCAGATCTTGTTCATTATAAAGTTATCCTGAAATTTATACGTTAAGTGATAGAGCGTAATCATGGCGAATAGTTGCATTCTAGACTGGTTCTAAAATGGTGAATCATAGTATCTTTAAACCGTACTATATAACATACCTAAACTAAATTTTTGTTTAAAATTAAAAAAAATAGATTTTCTAGTGAGGAGACTCCTAGCAATACGTTCAAGTGAATTCAATTACTGCTTTTCTGCATGGTCGCATTACTATATTTTAAATGTCTTTCCTCAATGTTTAAGGAAATGAAACTTTAGAAGCCTATGATAAAGACGGCCTTCAAAATGACTCAAAGGTATACACTGTAGCGGTTCTATTAAGGATTCAATCCCCCCTGATTTTTTAAAAATTGTTTTGGTTTATTGAGATTAAAATAATCCTCGAACTTTTCGGAATTATGAACCTTAAGAACAACGTCATGTAATCTCCTTTCCCCATCCTACCCTTACCCCAACAAACACAAATGCACCAGTGCGCCAGTGTGTAGACACGTATAGCTTTAGTTAATTGTAAAATTCCTTTCGCTTTCGTAAAAATGATGGTGAAATTACCGCGAAATGTTAAACTGTGATTCCAATGGATTTAAATGTAGTGATGGCGATGGAGAATTATATCAGTGACAGATTCATAAATATTTTCTCGGGGGGGGGGGGGGGAGGGGCATAAGGAATGTTGGTTTTCACTCCACCTATTGATTCAACAATTATATGACAACCTAACATAA